TCGAAAATGGCGACAGTTTCACAAATCGCACCCCCCCAGGGATGGCGAGGTCTCATTTGAATTTGCCCGTGGCGTCACTGTGCTGGGCCCCCCAGCAGGCCTCGAAAATGGCGACGGTTTCACAGATCGCAGCCCCCTCAGGGATGGCGAGGTATCATTTGAATCTGCCCGTGGCCCTCACTGTGCTGGGCCCCCCAGCAGGCCTCGAAAGTGGCGACAGTTTCACAGATCGCAGCCCCCCAGGGATGGCGAGGTCTCATTTGAATCCGCGCGTCGCCCTCACTGTGCTGGGCCCCCCAGCAGGCCTCGAAAATGGCGACAGTTTCACAGATCGCAGCCCCCCAGGGATGGCGAGGTCTAATTTGAATCTGCGCGTCGCCCTCACTGTGCTGGGCCCCCCAGCAGGCCACGAAAATGGCGACAGTTTCACAGATCGCAGCCCCCCAGGGATGGCGAGGTCTAATTTGAATCTGCGCGTCGCCCTCACTGTGCTGGGCCCCCCAGCAGGCCTCGAAAATGGCGACAGTTTCACAGATCGCAGCCCCCCAGGGATGGCGAGGTCTAATTTGATTCTGCGCGTCGCCCTCACTGTGCTGAGCCCCCCAGCAGGCCTCGAAAATGGCGACAGTTTCACAGATCGCAGCCCCCAGGGATGGCGAGGTCTCATTTGAATATGCGCGTCGCCCTCACTGTGCTGGGCCCCCCAGCAGGCCTCGAAAATGGCGACAGTTTCACAGATCGCAGCCCCCCAGGGATGGCGAGGTCTAATTTGAATCTGCGCGTGGCCCTCACTGTGCCGGGCCCCCCAGCAGGCCTCGAAAATGGCGACAGTTTCACAGATCGCAGCCCCCCGCAGGCAAGACAGGAAGAGGCAGGGAGGGAGGAGGAGGAGGAGGAAGGAAGGAGTGGAGACCACACTTCTCTATTCAAAACGAATACCCAACCAAGGAGGGCTAGGAAATATGCAAAAAAAAAGTCCCCAGACTATTTTTGGACTACTTTTTGATTATTTCGTCGGGGGCGGGAAAGAGGGGGGTGATGACTAGGGGTGGGTGGGTACCATGGCGGGGGCCATGATATTTCCCCAGATGTCATGGCGCCTCTTCTTGTTTCATTACGTAGCTGGCCTCCCCGCTGGGCCGCGCACGTGCCGCCCGTCATGATTTGCACCCCCCTTCTTGGACACCCCCCTCTTGGCCGCTCCCGAAGCTCGATTCGGCGACTATAATTATGTCGGGCGTGTAAATGCCCCAAGAATGCCCCAAGAAGGCCAAACAATATGCAAAAAACAGTCCCCAGACCATTTTTGGACTACTTTTTGATCATTCCGGGGTCATTTTTTATTCTTCGTCGAAAATCCCCCTGTAGGGGGACGGGCCCGACTTAAGACTACAATCCAGCAGTGGCGAAGCGTCCTGGCTTGCCTGTGGGCCCACCAAGCAGTGTTCTAAGAGCCTGACGTGGTTCGCACGGAAGGTTCTAATTAGAGCATTACTGGCTGAGACGGTCGTGTTTTCACGCGTAGGGCTTATGTTCTGAGAACGTTGGTTTTTGGTTCTAGAGCATTCTTGGGTTCTAAGAACATGTCGTCGTAGGCCTATAGGAGTGCCGGGACGGTCGGCCCCCGCTCAATACAAAGGGTATGCTTACGCCGGGCTGTGGTTTGCGATCGGCGCCAGCGGGGCATGGGAAGCACGACGCCGTCCCGCCGCGGGCCTCCTCGGGCCGCGGCGGGGAGCTCTATAGAGGTCCCCGCCCGCCCCCCAGGGTGCCCCCCAGGGTGCCGGTTGCAAACCGCAACCTTTGCAAACCACACCCTGGGGAGTCGCCGATCGATGGGCGGCGGGGGCAGAAGGTTCGGGTTCGAGGTTCGAGGTGTGCGGACGCGTTCGTCGGTTCTCGGCGGTTTTCCTCGGGACGCGTGCCGGCGGCTGCCCCTCGCCGAGGGCGTCCCGGGGGTGCTTGGAACGTCCCGAACGGCCGCCGGAGACCCGAGATATGAGCCAGAAACGAAATTCGGCGGCGAGCGAGTGGGGGGGGGGAAGTGAGAGGGAGGAGGCCTTCGCAGAGGGCGGCGGGACTTCTCAGAAGCCTTCGCGCCTTCTGGTAGGTTTTCCCAACCGACCCGTGGTGTTGCGCCACCGTTTTGAAGAGACAGCGCCCCGCGTTCCTTCCTCCTCTCCTCTCCTTCTCCCCCTGCTCCCGCTCCTCCCACCTCTTGCGCCCCTCACACGCTTCGTGGCCCTGTAGGGAGCTCCACCGAAGGCCCCAGTGGCAGGGTTCACATGCGGTTCCACCTTCCATTTCGGCATACCCCTCACACGTTTCGTGGCCCAGTAGGAAGCTCTACCTAATTCCCCAGTGGCCGGGTTCGCATGCGGTTCCATCCCCATTTCGGCACACCCCGCACACGTTTCGTGGCCCAACAGGGAGCTCCGCCGAAGGCCCCAGTCGCAGGGTTCGCATGCGGTTCCACCCCCATTTCAGCACATCTCTCACACGTTTCGTGACCCTGTACGGAGCTCCACCTAAGGCCCAAATGGCAGGGTTCGCATTCGGTTCCACCCTAATTAAGTATGGCACACCCCTCACACGTTTCGTGGCCCCCTAGGAAGTTCCTCCGACGGCTCCAGTGGCAGGGTTCGCATGCGGTTCCACCCCCATTTCGACACACCCGTCGTACGCTTCGTGGCCCAACAGGGAGCTCCACCGGAGGCCCCAGTGAAGGGTTCGCATGCGGTTCCACCTCCATTTCAGTACACCTCTCACACGTTGTGTGGCTCCACATGGAGCTCCACCGAAGGCCCCAGTGACAGGGTTCGCATGCGGTTCCACCCTCCATTTCGGCACACCCCTCACACGCGTCGTGACTCCATAGCTAGCTCCACCGAAGGCCCCAGTGGCAGGGTTCGCATGCAGTTCCGCCCCCAATCCCTCACACGTTTCGTGGCCCAACAGGGAGCTCCGCCGAAGGCCCCAGTGGCAGGGTTCGCATGCGGTTCCACCTCCATTTCAGTACACCTCTTGCAGATTTCGTGGCCTCATAGGGAGCTCCACCGAAGGCCCCAGTGACAGGGTTCGCCTGCGGTTACCCCTCTCTCACACGTTTCGTGACCCTGTACGGAGCTCCACCTAAGGCCCAAATGGCAGGGTTCGCATACGGTTCTACCCCCGATTTCAGCACACTCCTCACACGTTTCGTGGGCCCATAGAGCTCTACCTAATTCCCCAGTGGCAGGGTTCGCACGCGGTTCCACCCTCCATTTCAGCACACCGCTCACACGTTTCGTGGCCCCACAGGGAGCTCCACCGAAGGCACCAATGGCAGGGTTCGCATGCGGTTCAACCCTCATTCTGGCACACCCCCTCACATGTCTCGTGGCCCTATAGGGAGCTCCACCGAATGCCCCACTGGCAGGGTTCGCATGCCGGTCCACCCCCATTTCGGCGCACCCCCCGCTGCGGCACCCACCACTGCACATGGTCGGGTCCTTCGCCAGGCTAATTCCGCGGGCTTGAATTTGAGGGACCTCTCCCAAAGGAGCCTTGCCTGCGAGGGAATCGCGAGCAAGCCTCGAGTGGGACCCCCTCCCGTTAGGGTTCCCGCCTGGATTAGGGGAACGAACAATGACATAAATATAAAAAAATCGGAGGTCCGCGCGGATTTCTCGTACCGGCGCTTGACCCCCCTCCCCTGGCGCGCGGAGCGCGCCAGGGGCGGCGCTGGAGGCGCCGCCAGGGGGTCCAGCGCGGCTCCGAGAAATCCGCGCGGACCTCCGAGTTGTTATGTTCATGTCGTTGTTCGTTCCCCTATGGATGTTCGAATCCGAATGGGTCATCGGAATACTCGTAGCAGCCGTCGCTGTTGGGTTCCTGAGGCCTGAGTATGGAGGAAGTTTCGTGCGGGGCCCTCGTGGGAGTGGCCCGGCGCCAGCGTGCTCGGTGGTCGTCAGCGGCACTGCATCGAGTGCTCACTAGCGGGCACTCTGACACTTTGCCGTGCCGCTCCGGGGCCCGCCCCTGGCACTGCAGCGCTGCCCACATCGGGGAGGGCTGGGTCCGCCGGGCCTCTGGCCAGAGTGCCCGCTCGTGGAGTCCCCGTTGGAGTCGAGGATCCCCGATCGAGGGCCCCGGGGCGGCGCTCCTGGCGGCGCGATCGGCCATCGAGGCTCTATATCGGTGACGCGCCCAGGAGGCCAGGCAGAGGGGTTCCAGCAGGCTCGGAGGGCTTTTTTTGGCCTTCGGGGGAGCTGCCTGAGCGCCTCCTCCGAAGCCACAAAGAGGGCTCCCGACGAACGTAGCCGTTTCCTCCTTCTCCTCCTCCTTCTCCCCCTTTTCCTTCACCTCCTCCTCCTCCTCCTCCTCCTCATTATCCTCCTCCTCCTCCTCCTCCTTTCCCTAGGGCTCCTGAAAAGCCCCCGCCGCCTTCTGAGAGGACCTGCCCCATGTCACTTCTCCCCTCGACGCGCCGCCAGATCCAGGGTGGCGGTGGGGACGCCGAGGGGCGTCATGGTCGAATATCTAGGATCGAGGGTCCAGGGTGGCGATTCTGGCGGCGATGGCAGGATCGCAGGGGCGTCGATGGCGATCGAGGATCCAGGATGGAGGATGGATGTGCTTGAATGGCGTTGCGCTTTTCCTGGCCGTTGCTGGAGGCTGCTCGACAATCTCGACCAGGAAGCGCGCCAAGACAAGTCCTGGGGTCTAGTTGGGACTCCTGGGCCCCGAGTTCCTACCTATTGAAGAAATCATGCGGCGCTTTTGCCGCCTTCTTCGGCCTCAATGGTCCGTTGCAGGGCCCTGGGGCAGTCAAAAATGAATCAGATATCAAGGGCCGGCTCCAGGGAATCTATCACAACTTTTGTCGAAACCAGGGAGGCCAGTGACCTACCGAAGAAGTCTGCCGCACTGCACCCCAGGCGGGAGCGCGGCACACGATCAGGGTCTTGAGCAGCGCCCGCGATGTCAGGCCGCAAGGCGTATGCCGGGCTGATGAAGCTATGCTGGTCGTTAAGAATTGCTTCCTGGAGGTAGTGGACGGCATGTCTGGGCTCAGGCGTAGCAGGAGCGACAGTGACGCTCGGATCTCAGCCGTGGGATGCCCCGCGCGCGTCGATGGCCGCATCTCGCATGCCCGTGGTCACGAGCCGCTCTCTGCCTTGGTCTCGGTCGCCGCTGATGGCCGCCGCGCTGGGGTGGTGTTCATCGACGGCGGCCAGTACAGGAACAGTGGATGTTCCAATCTGGTACCGGGCAGCTCTCATTCTGCGAGCCGCAGCCCTGGACGCGGGCAAGAGTCTGAGCTCGTTGGGCACTAGGATGCAGGACGCGTGGACGGCAAGGAGGAGAGACACGTCGCCGGCATATGCGTACAGTGCCGCGACCAAGCGTCGAAGAAGAGCTGTGCGAGCGGGCGTTAGGGGAACAAACAGTGGCAACAACATCAAAACTCGGAGGTGCGGTCGGATTCCTCGGATCGGCGCTGGGGCCTCCTGGCGGCGCCTCCTCTGGCGCGCTCCGCGCGCCAGGGATGGGGGGACCAGCGCCGATCCGAAAAATCCGTGCGGACATCAGAGTTTTGATGCTGATGTTCTTCCAAGAGATCCAATGTCGTGATTTTTACAATGCGCGTTCCCCAGAAGGCTCGACCCATTCCCCAGGACCGGATTTTCATCCTGAGCCGTTCTTTGACTGTCCCGGGGCCCGGCGGGGCCCCTGGAGGCCGAAAGGTGTGACACAAAAATCCGCCCTGACTTTTTTGTTCGCGACGCGTTGGATCTCTGGGCTCTTGTCCCCCTAGGCGTGGATTTGGCCGGTTCTGCCACCTGCCGCACTCGATCGAGAGGCGCAGGACGCGATGTGCGGCCCTGCAGGGCAGCGAGGACGCAGATCCAGCAGCAATCCGCGACGCTGGGCCGCACGCCCGAGGCCGGCGCCAGCGCCGCACGGGGAAGGACTGGCAGTGGCGGCTGCGCGGCGGCGGGCGCCACGACCGGGTGCCATCAGCACCACGCTGCCGCAGCCCAGAGGGCGAGACAGCGGGGCTGGTCGCAGGGCGGCGCTCGTTCATCCCGCCCTTGGCCGTCGTGACGAGCCTGTCAGAGCGCGCGCCGTGCGTCGTGGCAGTGCTGGGCGCGGCTGCGGGGGGAGACGTCTGCCGGCGCCAGGGATGCAGTTTGTCGCCGGCACGTCGGCAGTTTTCTCACATGAGGCTGCGTCGGTTGGGGCGCAGGCCTGTCGAGTACAGTACCCCTGAATCGATTCGCCCCCCTCGGCTCCTCCTCCTTCTCCTCCTCCTCCTCCTCCTCCTCCTCCTCCTCTTCCTCCTCCTCCTCCGCCCGCGCCTCCTGCATGCCTGTCAGTGCCGCGTCTAGTGTTCTAAGGTGTGGCCACCCCGTTGGGTGGGCCGTGACGCTTCCAGTCGTCTGATCGGACATGTGAGTCATGCCTGGCCGCGACTGTTCTAGGCCTGGCGCGAATCCGTATTTTGGACCCGCGCACCGTGCTGGGCCGCCTTGGATCCCCTGTTTTCTGCCCTAGTCCTTCCCCGTGTGGCCTGCCGCCCCCCCTGGTGGGCGAGCGCGCATTGGCTGTCAAGGTCGTCGGACGTGCCCGCACCGCTGCAAGCCGCTGGTTTCGTGAGTCGAAAAACCATAGAAAAAACATACGCTTTCGGAGGTCGGTGCGAGCTTCTAGGATCGGCGCCTGCGGCGCCCCCCTGGCGCGGTCCGCGCGCCAGGGAGGGCAGTCCATCTCCGATCCAGGACATCCGCGCGGGCATCAGAATTTTTACATGTACTCTTTTTTTTAATTTTTCGATTCATGCCGTTGCATGGTTTTAATATCCATCAACTCTGCCACTGGAGCTGGTTCAGCCAGTATGCGCCTCAATGAGTAGTGCCTTGCACACTTAGCTGCCAACATCTCTGCCGCGTGTGAGAAGTCTTGCACGGTTACGAGAGTCACTTCTTGCATAGTGGTTTTATATGGGGACCTTGTGTAGGGTAGCATCAGTGGGCACTGGCGCACCAGACGCTACGTTTGCCCAGCTCAGAATCAAGCTTGCTAGATCATATATACGCTGTTATTGGATGTGTGTTCTGCCGCTGCGATTGTATTATGAATTCACCTGCTGCGCTAGATGAGACATGACACACTTGCGGCATAATACCGCACAGTGTGAACCCATGCCAAGAAACACCCTGCTTGCCTCCAGGGTGCCCTGGATTTCTTGGGCTTCGCTGGTTCTGCTAATGAAAGCGTGACGCTCCCACACCAGACACCGAGGAAAGGTCTGGGGTCTCAGGGTTGGGTTGTCTGTGGAAGGTTTCTTGTGGTCAAGCTCCTACTGTACAGTCGGGGCCCTGAAGAAGGAACCCTTTGCGTTGGGGAGGGGCTCGGTGTTCCTCAATCGGTCCACACCTTGCCTGAGGTTTTCCCTCAGTCGTCGAGGGGAGGTCGAAGTTTAACTTATGGAAAGAAGGGGCCTCGTTCCTTATTTAGGGTTCCTTGTGGTCAGCGCCCCGACTGTGCTGCAAGCAGCTGCACACAGTTGACGAGGGGGGGGGGGCGCGAGGGGCCACCGACTTCGGGGGGGGGCCCGGGGTCCCCCACCAGGCGCATGCACAGCGGAGCTGTCCCGTGAACCAGGAGGTATAAATGTCTGCTCCGGGGAAGTGTCGGGGAAACGTAAGACTCGGGTAAGCCGGACCTCGGGTTTGCCGACGTTTTTTGACGAGCGCGTCCTGGATTTGACGGTCCAGTTTTCGTGGGATGTTTACAGCGGGAGTTCGCGTCAAATTTCTGATGGGGTCTCGTCATTTTTATGATGGCCTTGTCAGGCCAACCCGAGTCCCCCGTACCCGAGTCTTGCGTCTCCCCGAAAGTGGCCATCCGGGGGCCGCATATTCAGCAGAAGGCGGAACAACACCGGAGGTGCAGGTCCTCATCTGGATCATCCTCATTGTCCTCGACACCTTTGCTCCCCCAGCATCAGTGTCGGCACCAGGACGCTGGATCCACGCTCGGTGCGCTGAGGCGCGGTGTCCGAGGGAGCGGCTCAGGAGGGCAAGTCGCCCTCCCGAATCGTCAAACAGGCTCAGCCCCGGACCGCCGGGGAGGAGACGCACGCAGGCCCCCCCCCCACAGCGTCGCGAGGATCGCCGCGCTTCGCGCGTCGCGGCCTGCACCGCTGGGAGGTGGGTCCTTCTCTAGAGGGCCGGGGCGCGAGGCGGCAGGCTGGGCGACCTACAGTCGGGCCGCTGCGGGAGCCCTTTTTGTTGTGGAGGGGCTCCGTGTGCTTCAGCTGTTTTACAGCGTGCCTTAGGTGTTCCTTGGTTCTTGTATGGGAGATCGGAGTTTCACTCGTGAAGAATGGGTTCCTTCAGGAGGGGCCTCCTTCCTGAATTAGGGTTCCTGCTGACAGCGTTCTCGACTGCATCAGAAGAAGAAGAAGAAGAAATATAATAAATAATAAGAAGAAGTAGTAGAGGGAAGGGGGACGACAGGGGGGAGTCTGCGCTGGCTCAGCTGGGCCCTGTGCCCGTCAGACCCACGCGCCCCTGGCCGCGAGGTTCACACATCTCCGACGCTATGGCTCGTGGGTTCCTGGCGTGCCTTCCCCCCCCCCCTGGCCAGACCGGCGAGGGAGAGAGCCGAGCAAGAAGGGTTCCGGCCACCGCGGGCCTCGGCTGAAAACGCCCCAGTGGCGCACTTCGCCCGTGGGCGCCACGCCCGTTTCGGCACACCCCTCACGCGTTTCGTGGCCCATAGGGAGCTCCTCCTCCTCCTCCTCCTCCTCCTCCTCCTGCTCCTCCTTCTCCCCCCCCTCCCCCTCCTCCCCCTCCTCCTGCTCCTCCTCCTCCTTATCCTCCACCGACGGTCCCAGTACTGCAGTTCCCATGTGGGCGTCACGCCCGAATCGGCAGACCCCTCACACGTTTCGTGGCCCCGTAGCGATCTCCACCCAAGGTCCCAATGCCGCAGTTCGCATCTGGGCGTCGCGCCCGTTTCGGCACACCGCTTACACGTTTCGTGGCCTTCAAGGGAGCGCCAACGATGGTCCCAGTGGGAGGGTTCACATGCGCCCCCTCTCTCCAGATCGGCACGCCCCTCACACAAGGTTCGTGGCCTCAAAGGAATTCCATCGAATGCGATCCTAACAACTGCGACACTCAAAACTGCATACGGTTGGGTCCTTCGCCAGGCTAGTTTTTGTCTTCGGGGAAGGCTTAGAACATTCTAGACGCTTCGCGTATCCCCGCCAGACAGAAGCGGACCATACGGGCGCTGCCCCCTCTGTGGGCTCGGAGAAGCGACCACGGAGCACGTCTGGCACTGGTGCCCAGCAGCTGCACTAGCCTGGTACACCATAAGGGGCCCGGACGATCCACCAACCCTCGCACAAGCGATCACCAGCAGTGGCGAACACCAACCCCTGCTTGCCAAAGTGCTGCACCAGATTTCCTTCAGATTCTGCGTCAACCTCACCGCCTCCCCACTAGAGGCCGTCGAAGCCGCCAGACTCATCCTCCACGGCATAGTGACCACTGACACAGACCAACAAGGTGACAGCGACGAGGAGGGGCATGGGGGGGACGAGCCCCCCAGGAGAAGCAACCCATATGAGACAGCCGTCTGGACCGTCCTGCGCGACGCCTGCCAAACTTGCAACCCATGCACCACCCCTGGAAGAGCGATCTGTGGCGCTGCTAGGCCCCACTTGCAGAGACATGCGCGCATGGCGGGGGGTGAGATTCGCAGACTGCCGGTGGTCACCAGGCACCACAACCCCGGGGACAAAATCGTCGTCTTACGCCCCACAGACACGGGCTGCTTGGATGCCCCCTGGAAATGGCTGGTTCCCCTGCCCTGGGACCGACGACTCTCCCACCGCCAGATGGTCCTCAACGTTCTGCCGTGGATACAGGCTCCACACCACCACCCTAGTTGCAAACATGGACCTGGAACCAGGCTACGAAGTCACAGTCCGCAGCTCCCCCTTTCCCGACTCCGACTCCACCCAATGGCCCTATGAAGTCACCTTTGACGGGGGCGCAAGATCCATCGAAGGCGGGGAAAAAGTCTCTGGCGCCAGTGCCATCCTATGGCACCACAATCCGAGCACTGGCTCCCCCCTAACTCCTGGCCATTGCCATCGTCGCCCTCCCCGAGTGCGGCAATGCACAGATGGCAGAGGTGGCGGGCTGCCGAGCCGGGTTAGCATTGCTGCCCCACCTAAGGGGTCCGATCCGGACGGCCAGGGTAGTCGGCGACAACCTCGTTGCGGTGCGATATGGCGCTGGCACCGCCAGATACC